TTTTCTGAAATTAATTGCGATTAATCCCACCCAACATTAACGTTTTTAAATATACTTTTATTTTGCAATAATTTCACATTCAATCTTCAAATTAATGTAGAAACAACATAAAGACAGTATATTTTTAATATTTCTTTAATAGCATCTTTTTTTTATGACTGAAGGCGAGTATCACTGATACCAATACTACTGGTGTATCTATGAAATTGTTTTTTCCCCCCGAATATTGTACCATTGACTATAGCCATTCAGCATTACAGTATAATTTAGAGCTCTCAATCTGAACATTTATTAGACTTTAAAATAACAACTTCTAATTTAAGTGAATTTAAAACAATCTTCACATAAACCCATTATAATAAATGTCATATTTACCTGTGCCCTTCAGCAAGTACACAGAAATTGAATAAAGTTATCAAACACTAAATTCTAAATTATATATAGATGAATCCTTAAATCTACAAAAGTTATTGATTTGCTCTTTTTTCTTTTGTTCTTTGATGAACAGACATCACAGCAGCTTGGTTATTCGGTTATTTTGGATGCTTTAAGAACTGCCGCTGCTGAACATGATCCTGGATCTGACCCTATTGTCTCACAACCCTTTACCTTTTCAGACCCACTTCACCCTGCTCCAGGACACTTTTAAAACCACTGCATTTCAGAGACATGTTCTTAAATGTGACTCATATATGACAAATACTTACATGCATGCACAGTTTTAAGGCAGCGTTAATCACCTTTTTACCTATGCAGTGGTTGCCTATCATTTCAAATGGCTAGTTTTTTTTTAAGGTTTGTTTGCTTGTTATAGAGCAAATAACCAATAAATAAATTTGCTTAAAAGAAAAAAATCTAAATCTGAATCCATGAAAAATCATGCAATCAGTGCATCACTAATTAAAATACTAAATAAATGGCCTCAAATTGGAAGTACAGTCTTTTTCTATCAATTCTTCAGTAGGTAGATTTTGCATTTCATAAAGGCCGAGGTCAGGGATCTTGGGCTTGAAAAGGTTGGTGACCACTGGTGTAGGGCGATAGAATATACAAAAACCATTACGCCTGTGGAGATTCCCCACAAGGATAGTAAACCAGACATGTGTGTGTGTATATATATATATATATATATATATTACCCAAACACCTTCATATAATGAAATGTAAACATGTTTGCAACATCCCGTATTAGACAATGTTTACATGTAAATACAGGTGCATCTCAATAAATTAGAATGTCGTGGAAGCAAAAGGAGCCCCTACCAAGTATTGAGTACATGTACAGTATATGAACATACTTTCCAGAAGGCCAAGAATTCACTAAAAATGTTTTTTTTTTTATTGGTCTTATGAAGTATTCTAATTTGTTGAGAGAGTGAATTGGTGTTTTTTTTGTTAAATGTGAGCCAAAATCATCACAATTAAAAGAACCAAAGACTTAAACTACTTCAGTCTGTGTGCATTGAATTTATTTAATACACGAGTTTCACAATTTGAGTTGAATTATTGAAATAAATTAACTTTTCCACGACATTCTAATTTATTGAGATGCACCTGTATTCTTAAATCTATTATTTGTTCCTGCCAACTATTATAATTTCTTACAATCTGTGGGTATTATGCAAACTGTTTACAGTGACACCGATTATATAACCTCACCATATCATCAGACTTTATTGCTGAATAGACAGGAAGCACTCTTTGTTGAACTGGTTTTAGGTCAAACACTGTGCCGTCTTTAGTTGCTGTGTGGCTGCTTTCTGGCCCAAGACAAAAGAGTCCACCTTCAAGTTTCGATGATCTTTTGTAGATACAACTTAGTTCCCTCCTTCAATGTGTGTCTGTGTATTTTTTTCACCTGTTTTATCATCCAGCAGGTGAAAATGGTGCATCTGATAAATTAGTAGAGTAACAGCACACTCTCCTCAACATCACACATGATTTGAGGAATCATTCATACGTGCAGAAGGTGAATACTGTTGAAAACACCTAACGCTAAGAAGTAATATAGACACTTGTATGCAGCATATGCTTGTATATAGAGTCTCAAGGCTCAATGCTGATATAGAATGAGATGCTGCGTGTCTAAACTAGCCCAGGCATGACATCATGGCATCCTGACAGCGTATGTGAGGGTTTTAACATTCACACACAGCAGACAGGCTGCGATATGCACAACCAGACTCATGCTAGTGACGTAACTGCATCAGTGTCCTCATATTTATCACAATGTGCTTTAACATTTCAGGCCCAAATAAGTGTTTAGGCAGAGAGCCACTAAGATGCTGTAATGTTTGCTAGTGGACCTCATTAACCTTTAGGCTGGGTGTCTTTGTGCCGAATGTGGTACGTGTGCATCGTCTGCGCTGCCTCTCAGCCCACTGCAGGGCTCAATTTGTCTGCGTCGCCATGGCGACTGCAAGCATGTGGGATCCTGCACAAGCCTGTTTGTCTGCGCTGTGACCGGGAGGGCATGTTGTTGCTGTGTGTGTGTACTGTAGGTATTCTGTTCATCAGTATGCAGCGTGGCAGGCCTATGCCGGTGATTCTGGAGCATGCTCAGTACATTCAAAAACAAACCATAAAAACAGGCAGGAGAGACTGAGGGGCCGTGAAGGAGGGCTGCTTCTGATTGGTCCAGTGCGAACAAATGTAAAATGCCTTACGCACCTGATCATCATAATATGATGCGAAGAGATGCAAATGAAGATGCTGTTCAGAAATGAACTGCGTTCTGTAACAGCACAGCGCATCAAATGCAAATTTAAGTGTGTTATCTGATCTCTGGCTGCTTTATTGCATAACATATATTGTGTCTTGAAACATCGAATGATTCTAGAATGTACCATTTGACAGACTCTTTTACTGGTATCAATATTTATTTAGACACATAAAGAATCGCCAATGACTATGAAAACAATGAATCCAACATCAGCAACTAAATAATCCTATAATCCCTAAGGGCTCAAATTGAGAGGATTTAATGGATTTAAACAAACCCCTAACCTTAAGAATTAAACTACAGCATGAAACTTGTGCTGTTTGTGCTCCAGACAT